TGGCCTCTTTTTGAGACCAGCGTGGTCTACTCAGTGCAGTCCAGACTGGCCAGAGCTGCACAGTCAAGTTGGGGGAGGTACAGGAAGAAGGAAAGAGGAATGGAAGGAGAAGGAAGGCAAGCTAGATGGGAAGAGCAGATTCAGGAGGCTGTGGTTGGACAATTATGAGTTCGATGCCAGCCTGGGCAACATGGCATTCCATTCAAAGAGCTATGTAGCTACAGGTGATAGTTATATAGACATAGAGAGACCTGAAGAGTGATTAAAGCTGGGAGTAGGACCTAGCATGAAGGCCAAGAATGAGAGAGCAGTAGGGTTGATGGGACCCACTGTGGAGGCTCTTGGCAGAGGGAGGAGGAAGACACGTTCCCGGGACAGAAAGTATGATACAACGGAGGAGCACCTATGTCCCAGACAGCCTCTGTAGCTTGGTGGAGATGTCAAGCAGCCAGTGGTACACCCAGGCGCAGAGCCACCACTGCTCTCAGGGAGAGAGGAAGGAGAGCCCAGAGCACAACCCTGGGGACCACAGCAGTTGTCTATTACACCTGCTTGAGATGAGAATGATCGCAAGGTGGAAGAAGACCGGGAGAGACAAATGTCTCTTCAGACGGTAGGTAGCCCTTGAAGCAAGGGCTGTGAGTCACCCCTGCTGAGTTCTGCTGAGCTGGCACACGCACTGGTTGTCACCAGAAGTCTCTGGGGAGGATGCGTGGTGTGTAGCAGGAGCTGGAGGCGATGGGGGAGATAATGGCGTGGCACCCTTACAAGGAAGTCTTCAGGTGGCTGTCAAGAAGGGAGCAGATCCACGGGGCAGGGGCTGGAGGACGGTTGACGGAGACAGAGGCCCCTGACACCTGTATCCTATAGCCTCTTTTCCTCCCTGTGAACATAAGGTCATTGGTAGGATCATGATAGGGGTACAGGACATTACACATGGCTTCAAGCAAGGCTACTGTAAGGACCCTGGAGAAGGATGGATGGGAGATACTGAAGCACATCCTCCTTCAGAGTCTGGTGAGATCAAACCTGGTTTCTATGTTAGCCTGTGTTAGTCCACTGCTCCCTGCCCTTCATTGGCTGTAGCTGGGAACTTAGGAAGCACCCCTCTTTGCTAGTATCTAGGTCCAGAGGCAGATAAAAATGACTTGGGACCAGTCATATATATATATATATATATATCAGAATTCCCTTCTCTTTATGTGTCTACATTTGCTACCTGTCTCCTTAGTCCCAGTCCCTATGGCTTAAAGTCTGCCCTGGGACCCTGGGACCTGAGATTAGACGCACAACCCAAAACTAGAAACATGATGTTCTCATCAGGATTGGAAGCGGGATTCATGTCTCCTGTGACCCCCCCCCCCCCCCATCCCTACCCACAGCTGAAGATCCTGGGTCATTCAGGAAGGGAACTGGCTGCCACAAATCATTGCTAGGATATTCTCCCAGAACAAAACACAGGAAAATTACCGAGAAAAGGGCTTCACAGGGCCAGGGTGGAGGCGGTTCCCAGCACGTCCTGGACATGTACACTCTGTCCCCAGTGCTTCCAGGCAGTACACAGCCCTGAGGGGCCAGCTGAAAGATTCTCACTGTGCTGGCCGGCTGCCCAGTGAGCCTCTCCCACCCACACTGTGTGCCCTCACGCATTGTGAGCCAGACCTTTGTGATTTTTTTAAATACACTTTTACGGTTTTTAATTTTGTATGGGGGGGTACATGAGCTGGTGACACAACACACACACACACATACACACACACACAAAGTGATGGAGTGAGGGTCAGATGACAATTAGCAGGAATAGGTTCTTTCCGAGGACAGAATTCAGCTCATCAGGTTTGATGGCCTTTACCCACTAAGCTATCTTGTTGGCCCTGAGCCTGGCCTTCTGGGTAAGGTTTAGCAAGACTAGCTTTGTTTGGTTTGTGGTTCTAAGGCCTACTCTGTGTCAGGGCTTGGAGGCTGGTTTTGCTATGAGCCAGAACATTCCAGTGTTAGACTGAGCACATGAGAGTGAGCACATCAGCTGCTGGACCCTGAACCTTACTAAAGCTCCTAGCTGATAGGCCAGGGTCTTTCAGCAAAGCCAGGGGCAGAATGGATGGGTGCCCTCCATTTGTCTGTTACTGTTTCGTAGGGGGACAACCTGAGTCCCAGATCAGAATTCCAATCTGTCCTCTGGGCAGCTGCCAGCAGGAGCTGTCAGCATAATGGAAACATCTTGAGTCCCAAGACTGAGGTGGTGCCCTAAACACCAAGGTCCGTGGGACACATTTCCCCGCTCAGTTGTGCCCTGCTGAGACAGCAGCTGCCTGGGGAACTGTCCCTCATTTGGGATCTGGGCCGAGATCTGGAGGCTGATGAGGTTTTGTTCCTCACTTGAGACTGACTGCAATTCTGGGATTGGTGGCCAAGAGCCCAAGGCAGCCCAGAGACGGCCTGGCCCCTGCTGACTAAGCTGGAAAGCTGCAGTGCTGCCATGGCTCACTTCCATGACGGAGTAAAGGTCATAAAAGAGATACCTGCTGATTTTTGCAAACCGCCTTAACAGAAAACAGTCTAGGCCAAAAATGTATCTCTGGCCAACCTTTCTCATGTTTCAAGTGACGTGAAATGAAGATGAGATTCTCTGAATCCGTATCTCACCAATCCAGCCTTTTCTTTCGGCTCTCCTGGGAGCCATCTGTACAGAATCACATGAGAGGAGGGAGAAAGCGTGGGTGCTGTGCGTGCATGTTTACACAACTTGTTCAAGAAAGAGGCAAGAGCCCCATGACGGGGGCACTTGCCTTTAATCCCAGCACAGAGGCAGGCAGATCTCTGAGTTCGAGGACAGCCTGATTTACAAAGTGAGTTTCAGGACAGCCAGGGCTACACCAAGAAACCCTGTCTGTAAAAAACAAACAAACAAAAACAACCTACCAAACAAACAAAAGGCAAAAGGCAAGAGAAAATGAGAGAGAGCTTTAGATCTCGAGGTAGGAGACACTAGAGGCATAACCCTTAAAGTGGAAAGGCCACAGCTGCTGTCCACAGGGGTCCAGAAAAACAAGCAATGAACTCTATCAGCATTGGTAGAAAGGTCTAGAACCCCCTGACAGACTAAACTACCGTACTGTTGGAATCCCTAGGGCTTAATGTCAAGAACAGGGATCAGGATTTGCCCAAAAAACCAAGGAACCATGTCACACCTGATACAAAGTATTTCAACTCAAAACTTGGCAATTTCATCTGAATTCAGAACTGAATGTTCATTATGTTCCTGACTAACACTCTATTCTAGCTGTATATTCAAAACCAGTAAGGAAACAGTGTGTACAATTTGCCATATCTGTAATGACGCAAATTTGTCTTTGGAGACAACAGATAAAGCAAAACTTTAAATTGCCTTGTGGGTGTAGCCAATGTCTCATGCTGCCATCCCAGGAGGCTAAGGCAGGATTGTCACGAGTTTAGGCCCAGTGTGAGCTACAGCCTAAGGCAAAAAAAAAAAAAAAAAAGTGGGGGGAGGGGGTGTGCAGCCTTACCAGGCCACAGAGGAAGATGATGCAGCCAGCCCTGATGAGACCTGATAGGCTAGGGCCAGATAGAAGGGAAGGAGAGGAGGACCTCCCCTATCAGTGGACTAGGGGAGGGGCATAGGGGGAGAAGAGGGAGGAGATGAGGGAGGGGGCTACAGCTGGGATACAAAGTGAATAAATTGTAATAAATAATAAAAACAAAAAAGACAAAATCTACTTTTCACCTTGCCTTTGTTTTTGAAACAGCCCCTATTTCCCTGTATGCTGCATTGAACACTGACTTTATTGTTATAAAACTAAGTACCTCACTATGATTACTGGGATATAGTCACATTTGATAGGATAAATTTTTAGCCTCTTGTTTACACATACTAGCACAGAAACCCCTCTTCAGGTTAAAACTACAGAAGTGATACTGACATCCAGCTGGAACCTGACACAGACACAATCAGCCAAAACACAAAAAGAAAACATTTAGTTTTTAAAGCCTTGAAAAATGGCCAATTTGGCTTTTAAAGAGTCAGCTATCAGTTTCTTGGGACCTAGGTAGGTAATTCATATGTCCCTGTCATTTGGCCCGTTTATAGAGACAGGCATCTCTGTCCAGTGAAGGTAGCACCCAGTGAGCTTCCTTTGATCTCTGGGAAAGACAGTAGAAGTACACTAGGCTGTCATCCTTGTTAGTCTAGCTTGAGTAACACAAAGAAGTGATATCCTGGCAGACAGGAAATGATTTTCTGCTATGACTGATATCTTCCTGGCAAGGAGTAGAATGCGTACCCTTGCTCTTATCTACAGTATACTCTGTTATTGCTGCTCATTTTGTATGGCCACTTGCCTAGGTTATGGGATATTTAGTCAATCATTATTACGGGTATTCTTGTGAGTATATGTTTTAGATGAGATTAGCATTTTACTTGGTAAATGGAATAAGTCACTCTGACCTGCCTACTGTGGTTAGGCCTTATCTGACCGGTTCAAAACAGCTGAGCTGGGAGTGTAGCTCAGTGCTAGAGTGTTGTTCTAACATGTACAAGGTCCTGGCTTTGAATCCTTAAAGGAGGAATTTCCCTTCTGGCCTTTGACCTGGCACATGCCTTTTCTCCAGCTGTCAGCCTCACACTGAGGCATCAACTTTTCCCAGCTCTTGAGCCTGCTGCCCTTTAGACAAGAGCCACACCACTGGCTGTTCTGGTTCTCAGGCCACATATTCCTCTGCATCTCCAGCTTGCTGACTCCCTGCAGGTCTTCACACTTGCCTCAATAACCCTGTGACCAAACCCTCAAAGTACATCTCAGAATCCTCTTCTCCCTGGCTACCCCACACCATGGAGTGCTTCTCTGTAGAACCTAATTACTACAAATGCCCAGGCTCTTCTCTGTAATTTTCAAGTCCTACCAATGCCAGGTAAATGCTGAGATGCTGTGGGACTCTTAAAAGAGAAGACAAGCAAACAACACAAGACTGCACCAGGAAAGTCACACATGATTTGTCAGCCTTTATTAGTCAAGAGTGAAGCCAATCCCTAGAGTTTCCTTTAAAAAACTAAACAAAACAACCCAACCTTGTTTACAGCAAACAATGACTAATTCTTAGTGGCTTTAAATTATATGTTCAATACCATAGATCAAGAATTGTTTGCTTTCCAATCATATCTTGAGATTAAAATACAAGTGTAAAACAAGTTAAAATAAGATTCACCCCGATTTAAAAAATAATTCCAATTGAAAGACATTTCAAACAGCATGTATAGAACTCAGGACCAAAAGATGACCTTAGAGTATTTTTACCTTTGAGGTAGCACAATAATGCTTAATTGGTTTTTTAAAATTATTATTACAGTGAGTTAAAAACAAAACAACAAAAAACTAAGGAATCTAACCTTTGCTCAAGGTGGGCTAAATAGTTTTCTGCAAATCCCCCATGAGGTGAGCAACCATTTTCATTCTTTTTTTTTTTAAATTTTTTATAAAGATAGCCCTGCAGTATATAGTAGGAAACCCATGGGAAGGCTGTTTCCCATAAAATAGACATTAGAATCACAAAGGAACGTCAGCAGTCAAAACAGGAGGAACAAGAGGTAATTGTAGTGAAAAATTAAAACAACCCATAACTTGGCGAGATTGGTTTACAAGTATGTATCAAAAACAAAAATTTCAATATCAACTGGCTGAGGAAAATGAAGGATGACATTCAGGGGTCCTTTTCTTTCTCTGTGCAAAATGCTTTCATCTTTTTTAAAATGAAGACTGTGACACGCCACAAAATGCTGTGTGCCCAGGGTGCCAGGATGCCAGCGGCACGAACCAACTCCACCATCATGAGCAGAGAATCTGGGCAATAGGGATGAACATAACCTCTCCGGCTGAATAACTTTTTTTTTTTGCCACTTTGCTGCTGAATTTGCTTACTAAACTGTTCAAAGAAAAATTCAATGCTGATTTCTAAGACTGCATCAGGAACATATAATTTTTTTAAAGAAGACTATGAACTCAGAGGACAAGAACACAAGTGGCCTTCCAGAGAATTTAGTCAAGAGAAGATAGTAAACGGGCTAAGCTGGAGACAGAAAGGAAGGAAAATACTGCAGCTGGACCTCAGAGCTCTGAGGAATATTTTCTATCATCCAAAGCCAGGGAATAGGGAAGAACAAACCCTCAGAAGAGGGGAGCTAGCAAAGGAATCTTTCTGACACTCCTCCCCATGAGGCCTGACCATTAGCTGAAGGAGTTGCCTGGCACAACAGGATACTGCAACCTTGAGGAGAACCTTCTGTCACCTTTGGTTCTCTAAGCTGCAAAGAGAACCGGAATACTGTCAGGTCCTGGCACTGTGGTAACAACTGTGTCTTTCATCACTCACACCAGCTCTTTACTATTGTCTCCGTCTCCCATGACCCCATCACAGGGTCATGCTGCAGTGAGGATTGGATCGGCTGCTAGAGTAGATCTCGGACCTGATGCCGTCTCTGTAAGAGCACAGCCGCCAGTGAGGCAGGCAGGGCGACAAGGAGGACTCTGAAGATGAGACTGGGGTGTGAGGGCACTGAGAAGGCCCACCCCGAGCAGCTGCAGGAATAACTCTAGCATGAGGTTCACAGCCAGTCCTAACCAATGCTGGCATGGAGGGTGGGGTGAGGTTCAGAGTCCTTGTAAGGTCTGGGTGGACTTCTGGGCTACTTGTGAGCCCAATGCACCTCTTACCTTTGCAAGAATCAGGTATTATTCTGTCAAAGTACAAGGTGTGATTTATTTAATAAAGCAATACCATAGAAAAGGACCTTAGGAAAATTTGGGATTACCACAAGGGTTTTCCAGTGCTAGCTGCCTGCTTTGTAGTAGTTACAATGGAGCAATTCCCAGAGCCGTAACACAGGCTATGTAGAGCAGTCTGAAGAGTCCTGCTTTAACTTCATGGAACACACACAAAAAAAGGTGAGTAATTAACAAAATTGTGGTGACTCATCTGCTCTGGACATTTCTTGGCTACAGTGACCATGGCAAAAGTCGAGACTGTTAGAAAGGCCTTCACAGTAATTCTGTTTATAAATGATAACCTTTCTTTCTGTGGTTATTATAAAGCTGGAGATTAGAGCCTTGCACATGCTCCATAAAGGCTGTGCCACTGAACCATGCCCAACCCCTACCCCAGTGATACAGATATTTAGGAGAAATGCCTGAGTCAGCTGACAAACTCCATGTATATGAATATGTCCAAGGTGAATTCCCTAAATAGAGAAATAATTTCCTTAAAAAAAAAAAAAAAAAGCTGGAAGAAGGAAACGATTCTCTGTGCAGCATAACCTCCTGTCAGCCTACTGCCATCAGCCAGTGAACAAGACATGGCAGGGGTTGCTCAAGAAAGTACTTAGGTCAGAGAAAATGATGACAGCTCCAGACCCTGGCTCGTTGTATCAGCACCATGCTTTAACCAGCTGAGCTAACCAGCCACCCTTGGCTCCTTAGAAATGGATAGCAATTCATTTATGTGAACTGCACGGAGATTAAACAAAACAAAACTTACAAAAACAAGCAACAAAAACCTTAACCCAGATAACCTTTCCTGGCTACTACTGACAAGAATGCTGAATCCAAGTTTTCTGCTAATGTGAGGCTAAGTAGTATTCAGATACTCTGCTCTGCATGGACCTGCTGGGCCTTCAAGAGAGCCTTTTGTTGAGCATCATTATGGGCTTGGACACAGATACATGATGTGTGGCTGCCAGCAAATAGTACAGGGCCACTGGGGCACAGACCTCCATTATAACTGCTACCATCTTCCACTATAAGAGCAAAAGCAGCAATTGTGAACACATTGTGGACTTTCTTAAAAGACAAAAGAGGAGACTGAAGGCTCTACCATTTCCTCCCTTGAGGAGGACTATGGAGGTGTCTACAGTTATTCAACAGGTTTCTGCAGACCTCAGGGGAACTTTCAGAAGCAACATTAGCAGCAAGAGAGGAAAGGAGGATGTTTACACTTTGGACTTTGTATCAGGCACTTAAATTGCTGGAGAGACATGCCATTCTGAACCAAAGATGTGAAAACTGGGTTATGAAAGTGGTCTAATGACGGGCATTCAGAAGCAAAGTGGAGGTGTGGGTATGGGTGGAGCCTCTGTCCATCCTTCAGTGCTGACTTTCAAGATTTCTAAATGCCCTTAACCACAGCAATGGCAGCGGCGGTGACAACAGCAGGAACGGTTCTGTTGTGTCTGTTTTCTGTGTGTGTTCTGTGGCTGACTGGAAGGTTTTGGTGTCACATCGAGAAGGCTCTGCAATTCATAACATCTACTGCCCAGGGTCCATTAGATCCAAGGTGGAGCCAAACATCTTCACCAGCTGTTCTTCGTAATGTGTGATGTTTCTCTTCATGATGTCCATGCAGGGTCCCAGAAGCCTCTCAAATGCTTGAACATCCATAACTGCATTGTTAGAAAAGAGGTGGGGAGAGAATGATTTGTTTACAGTAACAATTTAAGTAATTTCCTGCATGTAACCCCTTTCCTAAACATACTACTCACTCAGGTTATAGGAGACTGAACTGTAGGGGACTGGGCACTTGGGAAAAGAGATGTTCCTGTACAAATGCAGCAGCACTGAGCCTGTGCTAAAGACTAGTGGTGGGTACAGCAGCACCCACCTGTCTTGTTCCGCCACAGGCCTGGCCGCCTGCCACCATCACTGCTGCTCCCACATGCCTGGGGCCTGATTCTCAGGCTGTGGTCACTGCTCAGAAATGACTGCTAGGGCTGGCAGTAAAGCTTTGGTGGCACAACATGTGCTGAGAATGTGCAAAAGTCTAAGTTCAATGTCCAACACCCCCCCCAAAAAAATATATATATGAAAAAATTAGTAATGCACAAAGGATTTTCTTTTTCATTTTTAAAGTTTTATTAGCACATAGTAATCATACATCATCAAAATATATAATTTGATAATATTTACTGCACCCTATCTGTTGTCTCACTATCACTCCTACCCATCCTCTTCCTCTTCCTACCTAGCTCCCTTCCTACTCTAATTTTATGTCTTTTCTGGGGAGGAGGAAAACAATGTTTAATTAGGATTATGTCATAGGCAACTTACCACTTATCAGTGGCTACATTATGGAGACAATCTTTTCCTCCCCCAACAACCATTAGCTGCGTAAAGTTGGAGTGGGGCTTCATAAACCCTCATAAAGAATTGCTCTTACCTAAGCACTTGACATCTCCAACCGCGTAAGCAGAAGCAGCTCTGGGTTTGTTGGTGACCAGTGCAAGCTCTCCGAAGTACTGCCCTTTATGGCAGTGGGCAATCTCAACTTCTTGGTTACCATCATTCCTGCTCGATTTAGTCTACAACAGTAAAGAAGATGATCCTGGCTGATTCTAAGATCACAGCTGGGCATGTCCAATTGCATACATAACTACTGAGGAATTCACTCTGCAGAAACTCTTAACTGTACCCATAAACTCAACAGGTAGATCTTCCTGGTCTGGTTCAAATGAAGAGTTGTTCCAGTTGATGCTCCGCCTAAGCCCTAACACGTTTTAGGGAAAGGCTAAATATGAGTCGGTCAGGCCCAGCATTTTCTGTGGAGGTGACAAATTCTGGGAGATGTGACTGAAGCATGGTCTTCTGCTGATTCTTCTATTAGTGATGAGCCAGAGCACAAAACTATGTGTTGGTTGAGACAGTCTTGGACTGTTCTTTTAAAGTACAGTCTGCACCTACACCAGCAATGGCCCCTGGTTTGTGAGACTCTGGTTGGCCTCATTAGTTATGTAGACCAGGCTGGGTCTACCTCTGCCTCTTGAGTGCTGGGATTACAGGTGTGTACTACCATTCCTGGCTAATACTTTGTTATTTTTTTAAAGATTTTTTTTTCACATGTGTGTCTGTGTGTGCATGTTTGTGCACACACACGCCTGCCATGTGGGTGCAGGTGGCCATGAAGTCCAGAAGAGGGCGTTAGATCCCTTGGAGCTAGAGTTATAAGAAGTTGTGAGCTGTCCTGGAACTCACCCTGCAGACCAGGATGGTCTTGAACTCAGAGATTCACCTGCCTCTTCCTCCCAAGTGCTGGGGTTAAAAGCATGCATCACCATACCTGGCTTTTCTTTTCTTTTTGAGACACAGTCTTAAGCAGCCAAGGCTCGCCTCACACTTTATGTACCTGAGGAAGACTTTGAATTTCTAATCTTTCTACTTTGACCTTGTAAGTACTGAGATTGCAGGTATGCTCCAGCCCAGCTTCTGTTTCCAGCTTCTGAAGCATCCTTTGGCACTGCAGGCATACTTGTGGCACTTAGTACACTCTCCAGAACAGCACTGACCACACTATCACACACAATAGCTCCTTACAATGCGAAGTCAAACTCAATACTGTTAGATTCTGAACCTGGAACCCTGACCCTGCCACCCTGTTAGTACACAGGCAATCCCATGGCCTGCTCTCAGGGACCTCCAGCCACCCCTGATCTCTTTCTCTTCTGTGCACCTTCGCCTCCCTGCCCCAGTCTTCCTGTCTGCAAGCCAACTTCCCTGGATTCATTTTCTGAGACCAGTGAAAGCTGACCCCCAATAAACCTGACATTATACTTTTAATTTGGTTTGAACTAGCTTATTTCCTCAGAGAAGAAAGCCTATTAAGTTGGTCTAATGCAGGGCCCAAAACTGCAAATTTTGATAAGCTCTCTGACTCCTGAGGGCCACAGTGCTGTTGGTCTACACTTCAAATACTACATCATGATGACACACAGTGTCAGTGAGCATTTGAGAAATGTGCAATATGTATCAGTAGTTCAAAAACTGCAAATAAAAGAACACAAATAAACACAAATAAAAGAACTATTACTATGTGAAACAATAGCTCTATTAAAAAAAACTTACTGGGCTGGGTGGTAGTGGTGCACACCTTTAATCCCAGCACATGGAGGAAGAGGCAGGTGGATCTTTGAGTTGGAGGCCAGCCTGGTCTACAGAGTGAGTACCAGGACAGGCAGGGCTACACAGAAACTCTGTCTTGTGAAACAAAAACAAACAAACAAAACGCTGTATTGCATTATTATTATTGTTGTATGTGCCTTAGTGCACATGTGGAGGTCAGAGGTCGACTTGTAGGAGCTGGTTCTCTCCTTCCATCGTGTGGGTCCTGTGGATTAAACTCAGACTGCTAAGTCATCGACAGCCCAGCCCTCTATTTTAAAACTAAGAACTGAGCTATCATTTAGACAGTAATAAACATACACGGTTTGTTTTTCACATAGTTTAAATGGGAATGAAAGCCTACTTAATATACTGCATGGCATCAAGCTGGGCAGTAATAGGAGTACTGCCTTCAGCTCTTTGATTTTTGGGGTCAGGATCTCACTGTGCGGTCCAGACTATTTTTTAATTCATAGCCTTCCCGCCCCCGTACCTTTCCTGCTTATAGCTTAAATTTTTGCTAAATATATTTTGCAATAGGTTTCATACTAGATTTAGTGTTTATATATCTTACTATTTCAACAAATTGATATATTCAAAAAAGAAAAAAATGGAAATTGGTAAGAGTAACTCCCCGCTATTGGGTGTAGCTCTGTTGCTACAATGATGGCCTAGAGCTCATACAGCTCATGGTCTGACCCCAACACCAGATAGGATGGGCATAGTGGCACCTGCCCATAATCATAAATACAGGGGAGGTGGAGTCAAGGGATTACAAGGTCAAAATCACCCTCAGTTACATACACAGTTGTGTTTGAAGCCAGCCTGGGCTGCAGGAGACTCCCTCTCTCAAAAAAAGAAAGAAAAAAGAAAAAGGGAGCATTCTTCCCAGACACAGGCATTAATTATCAACATCACTCTATCCATAAACACCATAATAGTGCTAAAATGGACACTTTCCCTAGGGGTGTCCTAAAATCAGGGATGCTTTCTTCACATCCAACCTTGTGTGTACCTATTCCGTATTTATTAACGTTTTTCTATTCCTTACCTATAATTCACCTTCCTCATCTCGTTAACTATATGGCAGGGTAAGAGAACACACACTAGCTGTGTTAGTGACGGTCACACGCCTCAGGAGAGCAGAGCTCTAAAGGACGTGTTACACCGCACAGAGTGAGCACCGAGAGGACATCGGCACAGGGCCACCCACACTCACCTTGCTTTTAATCAAGATGCTCACTTCTCCAGACTCTATAATATAAAAGCTGTCAGCCTTTTCACCCTGAAAAAGAGGAGGTGAGGTCAGAATCACATCCAGCACTGAAGAACGTAAACACCGCTAGTGTGCTGAGACCCATTCAGGGAGCAGTAAACAAGAATACTGCAAATAGTGTCAAAGAAAGGCCTAGAGCATGAGGTCTCCATCTGGTGTGGTAGTGCACACTTGTAATCTCAGTACTGGAGAGGCAGACAAAGGCAGATACCTGGGGCTTTCAGCCTGCCAGCCTAGCTTTAGCAAGTTCCAAGCCAGTGAGAGGCCTTGGGTTTTGTCTGTTTGTTTGTTTTGTCTTTCCTGAGACAGATTTCTCTGTGTAACCCTGGATGGCTGGCCTGGAACTCAGAGACCTACCCGCCTTCTGAGTGCTGGGATTAAAGATATGCATCACCATGACCAGCGAGACCGGGAGTTTTCTTTTTTCTAAAGTAGATTGTGCATGAGCAATGATAGTCAAGGCTGTCCTCTGCATTTCCCTCATATACACAAAGAGGACAGCATGGATCCACGTGTCTCCACCTGGTGCAGCAGGTGCTTTAACATCATCTTTCTAAGCTTTAGGCTTTCCTTTTGCTTGCTTCATTATTAAAATTTCCTGGCTCAACAAGTCATTCAGGTAATTCAACAGCTAATGTACTCTGTAGTCACTGCATGCAGGGCACTGTCCAAGGGACATGAGAGATGCATCAGTGGATAAAACTAACCAAGAAATATGGAATCAGTAAATTACACAGTTCTGTTGAAGAGTGGCAAGTGCTACAGGAAAAGACAGAACAGGGACCATGACTCTCAGATGCTAAGAGAGGGCAGGCTACTGTGCATAACAGTTTCCGTGAAGGGTAAAATCTGAGCAAGAGCTGGAAGGAAGTGAGACTCAGGCAAGTAGACAAAGGAGCAGCAGCTTCTCGCTCATTTCACTCTCTCAGTCCTCACAATTAACTTCTGAAACAAGCCATGGATAATTCAATAGCAACCATGTGCTTCCAGTTGGTTGTTTGGTTCTGGCTGGCCTGGAACTCACTGTGCATGCAAGGTTAGTCTCAAACTTTGATCAGCCCTCCTTCCTCTGCCTCCCACTCCCAGCTTGGTGTGCCTTTTGTCTTCAGTGAGAGTCTGCCCTACTTCAAACCCCAAATGAGCACCATTTGAGGCTGACTTGCCTGATCTAGTCCCAGGCTGGGCATGATAGCTCATGCCTATAATTATAGCACTCAGTCAGCTGAGGCAGAAATACTGCTGTGAGTTTGAGGCCAGCCTCAGCTATGCAGCCAGACCTTGTTAAAAAACTAAAAAACAGTTCCATACTGCAGTTTGGATATAAAATGTCGCTGGAAGGTTCATGTATATGAACAGTTGGTCCTCAACTGATGACACTTTTTTGGGAAGTTACTGAGCATTTCCAAGAGGTACAAACATAAGAAATAAAAAAAGACAGCAGTCTGTACACATGCTACTGAAATTTCAAAGCTATAACAGGACCAACTCCAGGCCAATAACCTGAGCTGAAAAGGTAAACTCCTAGGGATGGCCACATCCCCAGCCTTACTGGCTAGCATTTTTATGCAGATGGTACGTCACGCATGTATTGTGGTGCAAATGTGCAATGATGTGGACAATGGTTTATGCTACGCTTTAAGCAGAACAAATGTGGGGTTTTTTCCTATACCGTTCATTGCCTTAATAAGTATGTAATATAAATGTAAGCAAACTTTTATTTTATAAAGTGAACATGAACATTTCATGGTGTTTGTATTTTGTATATTCAAGGTGAAAATTGAGGGCTTTTTTGTTTGTTTTCTGAGACAGGGTTTCTCTGTGTAGCCCTGGCTCTCCTGGAACTTGCTTTGTAGAGCAGGCCGGCCTTGAACTCACAGAGACTGGCCTGCCTCTGCCTTCCCAGTGCTGGGATTACAGGCATGCGCCACCATGCCCAGATGAAAATTGAGTTTTAAATAAACCTGTAAAAAAAACCAAACAGTTGCACTTTATCCTTAGGGCCAGCTCAAATGGCACTTCCTTTACAAAATAACATGTGTTAATACTTCCTTCACTCCCTCCTCTCTCATATACACTATCACACTGCGTGTTTCTTGAGCCTTGTTCACCCTTATCTTTAACTAGAAAGCAAAGCATTCAGAGATGTAACCTGAAATAAACACCATCCTTTTGTCAGTGGCTTTATCCCTTCTGGTGGGCTTTCTCCTCATCTTTCATCGTAAGTCTGATGCGCTCTATGCACAGGACCCAGGCACACAGGGATGGACACTGGTCTGAACTACTCCCCTCATCCCAGCTGTGCTCAAGGGCAGACACACTCCCCAACTCAACTCAAGCAGGTACCTTCCTAGTGCTCTCATCAGACCCGCCAGCAGAACTTATATTTAGAAAAGTCCCTACAGCTATGTGTATGTAATTAAAGATACAAGGATAATACACACAAAATTGTCACATAATATTTTTAAAGACATTACATGTAGCTAGACCTGGTGACATATGCCTGTAATCCCAGCATTCGGGAAGGTAGAGGCAGGTGGATCTCTGTGAGTTCAAGGCCAGTCTGGTCTACAGGACGAGGATGGCCAGGGCTACACAGAGAAACTCTGTCTCAAAAAAAAAAAAAAAAAAAAAAAAAAAGACATTCTATGTAACCCAGGAGAGCCAAAAATTTGCTATGTAGCTGAGGGTGGCCCTGAAATCCTGACCCACTTGTCTTCACCTCTGACATGCTGGGGTTCTAGGCATGCACCACCATGCCCACCTTGCAGTCTTCTTTGGTTTATCACTGGACGTTGAGGATTCTGGTGTCAGCACACAAATAATGAAGAGCATAAGCCCCCAATCTTCTCTAGATTCTAGTACAGATTAATAAAGCTTACTTAGGGTCAAAAGAAAATAACATCTGATAGAACAAATAACAGAAGCCCACCCCAAAATGAATGGAAGCGAGAGCCTAATGGTCCATGCCTTAATCACAGTGACTCTGGAGGCTTCTAAGTTTAGAACAACTTGGTAATACTCTGTCTCAAAACACAAAAGGGCTAAGAATGCAGCGCAGTGGCAGAAGACTTTGCTTAGCATGTGAGTTCAGTCTGTGTACTTCAACAAAAAGAGAGCGGCAAGAGATCTCCACGTACCAGGGGCGAACATCAATGAGGTCTCTGCGGGAGAGACACGTGTTTCCAGTAGTGGAGGCCACACACATTTTTGTTTTCTTTCTTTCTTCCTTTTTTTTTTTTTTTTTTTTTTCTTTTTTTTTGAGATAAGGTTCTCTCTACATAGCTCTGATTGACCTGGAACTTACTATGTAGACCAGTTTGTTCTCAAATTCATAGAGTCCTACTTGTCTCTTCTTCCTGAGTACTGGGATTAAAGGTATGTGCCATCATGCCTAGCTGAATCTTTGTTTTCTATTGGAGTCACAGTAACACAATGTGGACCAGGCTGGCCTTGAACTTGTGAATTTACTACCTTAGCCTCTTTTTTTTTTCTTGTTTTGTTTCTCAAGACACGGTTTCTCTGTGTATCCCTTGGCTGTCTTGGAACCTCTGTAGACCAGGCTGGCCCGCCTCTGCCTCTCGAGTGCTTAGAATAAAGGCATGCCCCACTACCACCCAGATTACTGGCATAGCCTCTTAAATACTGGCATTACAGATGTGCAGTATAACACAAGCAATCCAAGCCTGTAAGTGATACACTATTCCTTCAAATGCTGACTTCCAGGAAAGGGGCTGTGTGAGACCCCAACTCACCTGAGTGATTATTCGCTCTCCATCCTTATAGACCTTTTCTCCGATCACATCCACAATCTTCATTCGTTCTGACACCTAAATAACAGTTATACAGTATAATACAGTATAAAGAAAAAAACCTTGATTGAATGCCATTGTTACAGAACTAGATTAGAACAGTATTATTTGAAAACCTAAGAGTAGTTTTAACAGCTTTTCCTAAACCACATAAACAGACCCTTATTCAAAATTTACCTCTAGTGATTTAAAGAGTGGCACAGACTCAATAAATGATTCAAACATCTTCCTCTTTTTTGCATTGTTTTTCACTATGATTCTTCTAAAAGTCACCCGGTCCTACAAGAAAAAACAGGAAAATTCTAGCATATGTCTGTGTAAGATAACATCTATGGTTTAAATAGCTGAATCACTGCTAGAGAGCTATGGAAGTCACTGTATCAACAGAGTTTAGTGATGCTGGGAGAAAAACCCTCTAACCCATGCTGGGCCTCCACAGCTATAGCTTGGCATGCTCGCTGAGTGCCACCTGTGGGCCATAAAAAGAACACATTTTCCCGTTAAATATCTGGGTGCTCATAGTTATTACTCAATGCCAAAGGACGCCCTTCAGAAAAGGCAAAGGTAAAGCCAAATGATGCCTGTCAGGGGGTTGTAATTGTAGTGAGGAGTAACTGTAATGCAATATATACAGGAGCCATTGCCTTAATCAACACTTAGGAGGCTGAGGCAGGAAAAACAAATTCAAGATGGCTCTGGGCTACATGGTGAGTTCTTGGCCAGCCTGGATGATAGTGAGACCCTACTTATCTCTAACAAAAACAAAAGAAAACGTAAGGTAGTAAGTTTTTTTATTGGTATATGCTGGGGAAAATTTATAGTTCTGTCTCACAAGAAAACAAAATGGTTTTGAAATGCAGCTCAGTGGTAGAGCACAGGACGCCCTTGGTTCAATGTTCAGTGCTGTCCAAAAAAAATTTTTTTTTAATTCTTAAAAACAGAAATTCCAAGTGGGGAAAGAGCAATCACAGCAGGTAAAGGTAATGGAAGAATATTATGGAACAAAAATATAAATTTTCCAGGGGATCTAAAGGAGGGATCAGAATTAAATTAATGAAAAGACAGGAGGATAGGTACTCAGGATGGAAAGCATGTGAAAGAGTGAAAAAGGACCCTAATACCAGCAAGCTGGACCCTGTCTAGAAGACAGTCAATCAAGCTACAGTCTCAGCTATCAACTGCACATAAGCCAGAAGAACTTTTAACTTGTTTAGTTTCCTAAACTACTAAATGGGCAAGCAGTCACTCAGATCTAAGATAGTAATACTTTTCTTCTACCTCTGGCTGTCAGAGATGAAATGTTTTTCATATACAGTAATGACGACCTAAACATAAAGGCTGACAGGATGAAGATCAGAAGCCACAGTACAGACATGTGTAGCTGTACCTGCTTAGCATCTTTGAGAAGAGGAAGGGGCAGGGTAAAGACTGTACATTAGACAGTGTGGTTTCCCTCAGCTCTTCTCTATTAGCCCCAGAACTCCAGGCCCTGTCTCATGCCATGACTCATTTACGTTATCAGAGGCATCACTTACACTCCAGTATGGCTGATGGTGGGTTCCTCCTCCTCTACTGCCTTAAACTACAGTACACTATTTTACAGCTCTCTCTCTGGCATTTAGTAAAGTTGGTCTCCATGTTCTTCACCATCTATTTGCTTGACAGGAGCTACTCAGTCTGACTGTTCTCATGGGCTGCATTATCTGCTTTTGATTTTTGAATTCTAAGGTTAAGAATTTATCACGTAAAAAGTTACTTTCATATTTTGGAATATTATGACATCTTTAAAATTCAATTTCTATATATATTCTAAACTAATCTATGCCAAGAATATTGTAGAAAGAGGGCAATTAAGCCTGAGACACTGTTGCTGGCTACAGTAGCATATGTCTTTAATCCTGGTTCTGGTGGGAACCAGAAGCAAACATCTCAAGAGGCCAGCCAAGGCTACACAGTAAGATCCTATCTTGTGGTGGTGCACACCTATAATCACAGCACTCAGGGAAGCAAAGTCAGACAGATCTCTGTGAGTTCAAGGCCAGCCTGGTCTACAAAGTGAATCCAGGACAGCCAAAGCTACACAGAGAAACCCTGTCTCAAAAAACAAGAAACATCTTTCAAGATCCTATTTGAAAAGAAAAAAAAAAAGACAGAGAAAGCCGGGCGTGGTGGCATATGTTTGTAATCCCAGCACTCTGGGAGGCAGAAGCAGGTGGATCTCTGTGAGTTCGAGGCCAGCCTGGTCTATAAAGTGAGTCGAGGACAGCCAAGGCTACGCAGAGAAACCCTGTCTTGAACAACAACAATAAAAGAACAAATACTTTCTTCAGTGACTTATGTACTAGGCTTCCTGCCCCTTTAAATTACTTATTTACTGATAAGATTTCATGTAAGCCAGGCTGCTCTTGAACTTACCATGTAACCAGAGAACATGCTCCCATGCCTGGTTTTATGCAGAGCTGGCGGCTGAATCCAGGGCTTCCTTGTACTCCACCAACTAAGCTACATCCCAGGCTAGCCCAATCCTCTGTGGGCATGCTTTTGTACTTCCCAGGGCTCCCATTTGATGCTGTGCAAGGCTAGCACTTATAGCTGTCAACAGCATAAAAGACGTCTAAGATGCCGACCTAAATTCTGAGTAGCAGCCCAACAGAACAGTGAAGAGGAAAGCCCCACAGGCAGCAAGCGCACAAGAGGGCAAACAGCCCTGGAGTTCAAATGAGAAAAGCAATGCTACTTTTGCTCTTGACTAACAGGAATTATCTTCTGACTGAGTGCAATGGCTCATTTAAGCAGGAATGTAGAATCCAGTGAAAGGAACTTTGTGACACCACCATTCTCCTTGCTTATCCTCAGCAAGTATTTCAAAAGTTTTGTCTTTGAACTTTCTGGAAGTTCCATTTCTGGACATAGGACTGAAGCTCCAAGACAGACTGAAGCAGGAGAAAAGCAGAAGCCCAGAGGCATCTTCATGGGTCAGTAGCTTCACATCAGGGAGAAGAAAAGACTGAAGTGGCTTCAAACAGGACAGCAGAGCTGGGATCCTAGAAAAGGATCTTTAAAGACCAGCACCATGTTCAACAGAGAGCAGCTACTAGTATTCTCTGGGCATCCAACTTGTGTCAAGCTGTGACGCAGCCACTTTTCTTATGTCTGTAATTCTTATTTCAAGCCAGAAGGGAGATTATTTTATAGCCCACTATATCCTTAAATAATTTCCATTGCCTTTACTTTTTACTTCTATTATTCACTTATATTAAGAGTGCCTTGTGTATATAGGAGGGCCTCGATTTTTTTTTTTTTTTTAGTTAATTTTGTATCCAGCCACTTTACTGAAGGTGTTTGTCAGCTGTAGGAGTTCCCTGGTAGAATTTTTGGAGTCACTCATGTACACTAACATATCATCTGCAAATAGTGATACTTTGACTTCTTCCTTTCCGATTTGAATCCCCTTGATCTCCTTTAATTGTCTTATTGCTCTAGCAAGGACTTCAAGCACTATGTTGAAGAGATGTGGAGAGAGTGGGCAGCCCTGCCTTTTCATTCATTTCGGTGGGATTGATTTAAGTTTCTGTTTAGTTTGATGTTGGCTATAGGCTTGCTGTATATTGCCTTTAGTATGTTTAAGTAAGTGCCTTGAATCCCTGATCTCTCCAGGACTTTAGACATGCTCTTTGATCACTCACCCTTGATGATGCAGCCTTGCCAGGCCACGGAGGAAGAGGATCCAGACATCCTGATGAGACTTAACAAGCTATGGGCAGATGGTAATATTGGAGAATGTTCCCTCTTTCAGTGGACTAGCGAAAGGGGATGGGGGAAAGAGGGAGGAGGGGGAGTTGAGGAAGAGGACTTCAATAAGGATATATAATGAATAAATTGTGAAGAAAAAAATTAAAACGTAAAAAGGTGGGTATTATGTAATTTTCAAATGTTTGGAGATTTTCATGATCTCCATTTTTTATGGCTAAAGAGTAAATACTGATTTCTATTTTTTGATTTGTAAGATTAATTTTATATTCCAGGACAGGGTCTATTATGGTGGCCACCCATGTTCTTTTAAAAAGAATATATTCCACTGTGTGTCATATACAAATTTCAATTTGATCCTGCTGGTTCGCATAGTTAAGCTCTTCTATATCCTTGCTGATTTCCTGCCAAGCAGTTCTATCAGTGTCTCGGGACAGCCTTCGTCATCTGTCATGAAGATCTGTCTGGATCTCCTATTAGCTTAATTACCCAGAAGCTCTGTTGTTGCTCGTTGTACACATATTTGGGATTGCTATGCCGTCCTGGTAGACTGCACCTGTAGTGTTTGCTCTTCTTTGTCTCTGTAATTTTCTTTGTTCTGATGTCTGATATTAGTATGATTATCCCTTTTTATTGACATTTGCATGGTGTATCTATTTCTATCCTTTTATTATTGTATTTGAGTTTGTTAGACAGCATATGGCTGGCTTTTGTTTTTTGGTGTGAAGGGGAATGAATGACTTGAGACAGGACTTCTCTGTGTAGCCCTGGCAGGCCTGAAACTCAAGAGATCCAGCTGTCGCAAGTGCTGGATCACAGGTGTGCGCCACTATGCCTGGCTAGATCATTTCTTAAATCCAGTCTGGTAGTCTTTTTAAATTGGCATATATGTTTACTTTTTGTTCTTTCTATTTTTAAATTTTATGTACATGGATGTTTTGTTTACATACAGGTCTATATAATCATTGTATCCGGTGTACACAGAGGCCAGAAGAGGGAACTGGAGTTACAGATAGTTGTGAGCTGCTATGTGAGTGCTAGGAATTAAATCTGGTCCTCTTGAAAAGCATCCAGGGCTCTTAACCACTGAAGCCATCTCTCCAACCCATTCTTATTCTTGCAAAATGGACAAAAGTTGTATTTCTCACTATTGTGTGGGGGGTGTCCAGTGCAGGTGCATTCGTAAGGGTCAGAGGACAACTTTCAGAAGTCACTTCTCTCCTTCCACTGTGGGTTCTGAGGACTGAACTCAGGATGTCAGACTGGTACAGAAAAAGTGGCGCACGCCTGTGATCCCAGCACTCAAGGAGATAGAGGACAGCCAAGGCTATACAGCAAAACCCTGTCTTGAAAAACAAAAACAAAACAAAAAGCTTTTATTTGCTAAGTCATTTCATGGACCTTGTTGTTTTACTGAGACAATGTCTTGTTTTGCAGCCCTGTCTATGTAAAAAGTGGTCTCAAGTTTGTAGCAATACTCCTGCCTCTGTCTAAGTGCTGGGATTATGACTATACCGCCACTGGCCCATTTAGATTACATATTAATTACTCACATTAAGGTTTGCACCTACCATTTTATGTTTTCTGTTGTTCCTTGTTTTTTTGTTTGTTTGTTTTGGTTTGGTTTTTCGAGACAGGGTTTCTCTGTATAGCCTTGGCTCCCTTGGAATCACTTTGCAGACCAGGCTGGGTCTTGAACTCACAGAGATCCACCTGCCTCTTTGTCCCAGAGAGCTAGGATCATAGGCATATGCCACCACAACCAGCTTGTTCCCGGTTTTTTTTTTTTTTTTTTTTTGGTTTGTTTGTTTGTTTCTTCTGTTTTATATTATTTATTTCACTTTTCCTACTTTCTTATGGGTTATTTGAATACTTTTTGGAATCTGGCTTATAAAATTTGTTTTTATGAACTTGTTTTTTTTTTTTTTTTTGAGATGGGAGTATCACTATGTTGCCTAGTTTGAACCTGAAGTGCTGGGCTTAAGTAATTCTCATTTCTCAAGCCTTCTGAGTTTCTAGGACTAAGAAACACACCACTGCATTCAACTATAGACCTTCTTAGAGGTTTCTCTGGGCTTACATTATACATCTGTATGTAATTCACAGCAGTGTACTAGCAAACCTTATTATCTTCATGGTTTTACTTCAATCTGGCCTCTCTTCCTTTAGAAAATGTAATTGTCTCAAATACTACTTACTGCGCAACAACCATCCCAGTTATGCAAAAACTCTTACTTAAACTGTCTTACACTGAAATAAGGCTGGGCACTATGTTTAACAGTGCTTACTCTTTGTTGTTCTTTCTTGGTTTATGGTATCTTTACATTTCCTCCTTTTTTTTTTAAAGATTTATTTATTTATTATATTTATACAGTATAGTACTTACATACCAGAAGAAGGCACCAGAGCTCATTATAGATGGTTGCAAGTCACCATGTAGTTGCTGGGAATTGAACTCAGGACCTTTAGAAGAGCAGCCAGTGCTCTTAACCTCTGAGCCAGCTCTCCAGCCTCCTAAGTTTCCTTCTTTTACTGTTTCTCTTCTGAATTGTCTTTGGCCATTCCTTTATCCTTCAAAGGAGAATGTCCTAATTCTTGTAGGCTCTTTTCAGGCCTGGTTTGCATTGTGAAATTCAGACTTGACTTTGAACTCATAGAGATCTACCTGCCTCTGCCTCCCAGGTACTGGGATTAAAGGCGTGTGCTACCATGCCTGGCAGAATTCACTTATTCTTAACTAATATATATGTTATATATACAAATACACACTTATATACTTATATCTTTTACCAAATTTAGAAAATTTTGATTGATCTATTATTCTTCCATTAATAAAAAAGATAAATTCTATGACATAAATGAATACTTATAAAATAAGTATAAATGACTACAGATATCCTTATTTTAAAGGCAAAATATGCAATCTGTACTATAAGATATTTTTGAAGAAAGAGTTGCAGATTATAGATACACAACAATGTATAAAGAAACAAGACAGACAGTGAACAACATGATACAAGAACTACAGTGTTTTACTGAAGACAATGTGTTCCCTAAGATAATCCAAAATCCCATTTCCCTAAATATGGTCATTAGCGCGCCTAATGACCTAAGTCTTTTGGATACAGCTATAGAGAAAAGGACGAGTGGATGGCTGAACAGAGAACCAACTGCTATTGATACAACTAGAGACAGAAAATGATAGCAAAGGGCTTCATGACACCACCATTACTACTACTGTTCCTCTTCCTCCTCTTTTGTGTGTGCATCTCTGTAAGCGACAGGGTCTCACTCTACAGCTCTCCTGGGCTACTTAGTAGAGGTTTACCTCGTCTACCTTTAACTGCCTAATAAAAACAAGCAAAAATGTAGCAAGAGCTCTGTCACTACAAGGATATAGACACTCAGAGTTCTTTAACTTAAAAGATGTGTTGCTAAATCACTGAGGAAAATGGAAAAAAATATACATTTACATTAGACCTTTGACAGCTGGCCGTAAGAGACAGTTAACACTACACCATGCATTTCTCTCACTCACCAATCCCCAAAGGGCGCCTTCTGAGGTGGCGACAATGGTAGCAGCTCTCGGGGTATTATACATCAGAGCTAGTTCTCCAAAACTGCCACGGTTGTCATACTGACCAACGGAACGTGTTTGATTATCTTTTGTTACTAAAATGTCATAGGTTCCCCTAGAAGAATGACAAGACATAATTAATTACTGCTGATAAGCTTGAGAAATGACTGATACATATAAACCATAACAGGGGCAGAGTGGGGACATGGCTCAGATAATGTTTGCCTAATATGGAGGAGGCCCTGGGTTTGATCCCAGATCTAGATAAACCAGGCATAGTGGTGCATGTCTGTAATTACAGCAGTTTGGGAGTTGGAGGCAGGAGGATCGGAAGTTCAAGATCATCCTCTGCTCTATAGGAGTTTAAAGTGAATCTAAGATATATAACATCCTGTCCCAAGGGGAGGGGAGGAGAATAACCAACATACAATGATTTTTACATTTGACTTTGTTATTATTTTTTTAATTTTATATGCATGGGTGTTTGCTTGCATGAATATTTGTGCCATGTATATGCAGTACCCATGGAAGTCAGAAGAGGGCATCCAATCCTTTGGAATTAGAGTTACAGATAGTTGTGAGCTGCCATGTACATGTTGGGAATTGAACACACACACACACACACACACACACACACACACACACACACACACACACCCTCTATAGGCACAGCCAGTGCTCTTAACTGCTGAGCCATGTTTCCAGTCCTGCATTTGACTTGATAAATTGATTTACTCAATTCAGTAACTTTTTTGTAGCACTCCTAAGGATTATTCCTGTAAAGAGTTTTACTTCTTTCCTAGTCTATAAGGAAGTTTTTCTTCCTTACTTTTGCCTTATTACACTGGATAAGGCTTTCAGCACAATACTGACTAGAAATAAGAGAGCAAAGGCACCCTTTCTTATTCTCAGTCTTTTCTGGGTGGATGGACGGAGTACAGGGTCTTTTAGCCTAACCCAAGTACCTTTGAACTCTTTTGGCCTTAGCTTTCTGAATGTTTGCAGGGATAAGCCACTGTTATCTTGTATCTTTATTACACAAAGATGTTGAATTTTATCAACATCTTTGAATTTTATCAACAGAACACTTGAATTTTATCAACTATTCTGTGGAATACTGAGCTAACTGTAAAGGCTTTTTTTTCATGGTTTGTTGAAAACAAGAATAGAACTGATTAATTTTACAATTTTCTACCTATTATTTGCAAATGATTGCTCAAAAAAAAAAAACCCACTCAGAACTAACATTTAGAGAAACAGACATGTGCAATGCGCCGCAGAAGCAAACAGTCCTTTCAGAATTTCTGTAAGACAACTAACAACACATCAGCAAGTGCCTCGAGGAGACCCTTTGAGGGATGGGTGATGGCTCAGCTGACAAAGTGCTTACATGCTTGCCCAAGGTGGCCGCACACCTCTAATCCCAGCACGTGGGGAGGCAGAGGCACATAAATACCTGGGTTCCAGGACAGTCAGGACTAAACAAAGAAAGAAACCCCGTCTTGAAACAAGCAAGCAAACAAACAATCAAACAAAAAACAGTCATGGTGGCCTGCAAATCTAATCCCAGCACTAGGAAGGCAGACAGGCAGATCCTGAGCTTGCTGGATGGCTAGCTTATGCTAATCAGCGAGCCACAGGCCAATGAGAGACCCTGCCTCAAATAAGGTGGACAGTGCCTGAGCAACACCACCTAAAGTGTCCTCTTACCTCTTAACATTGGTGCAGCAACACTAACATGTCAAGTCATAAACACACATGAACACATATGCACACATAAGTCCTTGTGAAATCATTCCAAAAAAGATAAAGATACTGAAAAGATTTGACTTCAGGGCTACCCACCGGACAATATAACATCAAAAGTTACAAACAAACAACAACAAAAACAACTATTCTGGGGCTGGAGAGATGGCTCAGGCGTTAAGGGAGCTGGTAATTCTTCCAGAGGACCAGGGTTTGCCTCCCAGACACACATGATAACTCAAAACTATTTGTAACTGCAGTCCCAGGATGTCAATTGCCCTCTTCTTGCTTCAGTGGGCACTAGGTACACATGTCATGGTGCACAGACATACATGCAGACAAAACATCCACACACATAAAAAAAGGAAAATTTCCTTTAATTATAAAAATTAGTCACCAGTATCAAAGACCCAAAAGTTAACAAGGAAATTACAAATTTTTCTATTTAAATTTTTGAACAGGGGATTGGAGAAATGACTTAGTGGCTAGGAGCACTGGCTGCTCTGCCAGCAGACCCAGGTTTAATTCCAAGTACCCATATGGCAGCTTACAATTGTCTGTAACTCAAGCCCCAAGTGATACAATGCTGTCTTCTGGTGTCTGTGGGCACCAAGCATGCATGTGGTACACACACAGGCATACAGGCAAAACATCAATACATAGAGAGCATTTTAAAATGTAAAAATCCAGGAATGGTGGTGCACATCTCTACTCCTAGCACTTAGGAAGTAGAAATAGGCCTGAGACAAATTCTGTGAGTTTGAGGCCAACCTGGTCTACATAGAGTTTTCCAGGACAGCCAAGCTACAAAGAGAAACCCTGTCTCAAAACAAAACAAATCTGAATAGGGCTGGAGAAATGACTTAGCAGTTAAGAGCTCCTGTTCTTGAAGAGGACCCAAGTTAGGTTCCCAGCATCCATGCCAGGCAGCTTACAACTACCTGTCTGTAACTCCAGCTCCACAGCTCCCACCGCCCTCTTCTGGCCTTGACCAGCACCTGCATATATGTGCTGCATGCACAGACACCCAGATATACACACAAATAAAATATTTAAAACTTCCTTTCACAGGGCTCAGTGAGATGCCTCACTGGTACAGGTACTCGCTGTCAACCCTAACAATCTGAGTATTTTCAATCTCTAAGATCCACATGGTAGAAGTAGAGACTTGACTCCATCCCACAAGCTGTCCTGATGTCTACTCTCACATACATATGTACACAAAACAAATGAATAAATGTAAAAAAATAAAATAAGTAAAAATTTTTATAAGCTAAATTTATGTTACTTGACGAAAACCAATGAAATTATCCCAAAACTCAGGAAATTCTAAATAAGGCCTGCATCTTGGTTGCAATAGCATAAAAATGTTTATTTCTGATTTTAGAATTGTTATATACTGAAAAGAATTCCCTTGCTTTTAGAAAATGCAGGAGGAGGTATTCAGAGATTTAAAAAAACAAAACAAAACAAAACATTATGTTTCAAACTTACTTCGTGTTGTTTTGAGACAGGCTCTCAGATGGCAATGGCTGGCTTTGAAGTTGCTATGTAGCTGAGGATGACCTTGATCTCCTGAACCTTCTGCTTCCACATCCCTGTCACACTGATTACAGGTGTAGACTACCATGCCTAGCTTTCTTTAACTTATTCTGAACAATTTGATATTCTAAATATGGCATTACATTAACCTGGGAGCTGAGCTTATAAGAATTTTCTATACCATTTGTCCTAGGGTTTTGTTTTGATTTTTAAACTTTGAAGTTACTTTAAAAGGAAAAAGAGAGTTGAAAAGCTAGCTTAATGGTCAGAAACACACACTGCTTTCTTTTCTAGAGGACTCAATTTCAGATTCCAACACCCTGGTCAGGCAGTGCACAAGTCTTTAATTCCAGCTCCAAGGGATCTAAAGCCCTTTTCTGACTTCTGTGGGCACTGTACTCAAATGAACAAGCTTCATTCCCCAACACCCCGCTACCCCATTACACATAAATTTTATTTGTTTATGCATACACACAAACTTATTTATGTAAATACGCATATACATAAATAAAAATAAATATTTTTAACATTAAAGAATAATTGAAAAAAATTAATGTATGGTAACATTTTATGCCTTAAACTCTGATGAGACTCTTTTGTTAAGACTGAGGAGTCAGAAGGAAGCCATATTCTTCTTCAGGAGAATACATTCAACTCAATATGCTAAGATGCAGCTAAGTTAGGGAGGTAAACCCAAATACTTCATTTTCCCCAATATGGCTTACACTTGGTATTGAAGCATGGTGGTTAGGGAAGTACATTCATAAAATCAGACTGAAAACCAAAAATTCACACAACAATAAAGTCACAGATACTCTTCAGGGAATCAATTCAATTAAACGCTGGCAAATGACCCATCTGCAGAGTGCACCATGCCATTCTTTGTCTAACTAAAAGAAAGATTTCAACTGTGCTATCTCCCCCAAATAGGGGTTTTACTCAGGACTCTCAGGATAACAGTAGAGAGACAGCTGTGGTCCAAGAGAGGCTTTGGGAAGCTTCTTCACTTGGTTCTAGACCTCTTGGAATTCAAGGAAGTGTGACCAGACATCTACAAAGCATCTCCTACCGTTCTATGACATAAAAGTTGTCTCCATCATCTCCTTGTTCAATGACGTGCTCTTCAGGTTTGACTGTCTTTTCAAACATGGCATCCAAAACTTGAGAAAGCTGCTCCTAAGATACACAAAGAGAACACATGACTTTACATTTGCTGAGAAAACATGAAGGTCATCCTGGTATGGTGGCACACATCCATAATCCCAGAAAAAACACACAAAGGTTGTATTTATCCTAATTTGTATGACTATATAATAAGGCTCTATACCAGACCACAGACAAAATTTCAGCAGAAACCTAAGAACTATCGGAAATGAGCTTTGCAGTATTTCACTTTGGACCTCAACAGAAGACAGCACAATTGTGAAGCCCTCTTTTTGTTTTTTGACAGGGTTTTATCCAGGTGGGTCTGGAACTTTTTTTGGGGGGGAGCTGTGTTTCAAGACAGGGTTTCTCTGTGTAGCCTTGGCTATCCTGGAATTTACTCTGTAAAAGAGGCTGGTCTTGAACTCAGAGTTTTCCCTGTCTCCGCCTCCTAAGTGCTTGGATTGAAGGCATGCACCACCACAAGCAGTGGTGGAACTTTTGATTGTCCTGTCAGCCTCCTGAGCCTGGCTTGCCAATTTGTTTGTTGGTTGGTTGCTTGCTTTTTTAACACAGTTTCTCTGTATAACAGCGCCCTGGCTGTTCAAGACTAACTTTGTAGACCAGTCTGGACTCAAACTCACAGAGATGCACTTATCTTTGCCTCCCACATGCTGGGATTAAAGGTGTGCACCACCACACCCAGCTCTGGCTTGCCAATTCTTTTAAGGTAGTATTGTCTTTAAAAAGCTTTCTAACTTATTTGACAGAGAATCAATATCCAAAATACATAAAGAACTCGAAACAAACAAACAAGCATCAGGGCTGAAGGTGAAGTTCAGCCACAGAGCACTTGCCTGGCATGTGGAAGAGCCTAGCATGTGCTCAATTCCTATCAACTCAGAAAAGAAAGATCAAACAAAACTTCCCAGAAGTTTCTGACATGAACTCATGAGCTTCCCCTCCCCCCTGAGGGAGGAGCAGCCTTGCTAGGCCACAGATAAGGACATTGCAACCATCCTGATAAGCTAGGGCCAGACAGAAGGAGAGGAGGACACCCCCTCTCAGTGGACTTGGAAGAGGGCAGGGAAGAGATGAGGGAGGGAAGGGAGGATTGGGAGGGAAAGAGGGAGTGGGCTACAGCTGGGATACAAGTGAATGTATAAAATTATTTTTAAAAAAATTTAAAAAGCAAAAAAAAAAACTTCCTAGAAGCTCAAAATTATGTTAAAAAATGAAGAAAGGTTATCCAATTAAAATAACACTCAATGATCTGAAGAAAAATTAAAAGAAGTACAATGCTAGACAGGGTAGTGCACACCTGTAATCCTGGCACGTGGGAGGCAGAGGCCTCTGTGAGTTTGAGGCCAGCCTGGTCTACAAGGAGAGTCCTAGAAGTCTCATAAAAAACATACAGTGGGCTCGGGACATGGCTCAGCAGTTACAGTGCCTAGCATTCAAGAAGCCCTGGGCTTGATTCCTATTGCTGTAATTAATAAATACTTTAATTCCAGCACTGGGGAGATAGAAGCATAAGAAGTTCAAGGTTATTCTAGGCAGATTTCAAGGTGATATGAAGATATAGGATTTACTCTAAAAAAGAAATGTGGGAGCCTCAATATCAACATTCTTAGTCATCAGGGAAATGCAAACCAAAATTATATTGAGATTTCATGCCATCCTAATTAGAATGGGTATTATAAAAAAAAAATTAACAAATCCTGGTGCGGAAGTGAATAAAAGGAACCTTTGTATACTGGAGTAGAAATGTAAATTAGTAGGGCTGATATGGAAAACAGTATGTAAGCTCCTCAAAAGACTAAGAATAGAGCTGCATATGATCCTGCTATATCAATGTTGGGTAGTCATCAAAAGGAAATGAAGTCAGAAGACAAAAAATACATATTCATAATTTTATGTTACTATTCATAAAAGCCACAATATGAAATCAGCCTATATGACCACCAACATGTGAGAGAGTGAAGAAAATTTACATAGTGAGGCAAATAAAGAAAAATGAAATCATGTTATGTTTGTATGGATGAAACTGAAGTGAAACAGACACAGAAGGAGAAGTAGTGCGTGTTTTCTCTTACTCGTGAAAACTGAACAACAAAAAAGATAACCGGAAAATGAAGGACTATGAACTGTAAGAAAAGGAAAAAAAAATAGGAGATATTTCTATATGTGGAAATGTCACAGTGAGACACATTCATTTTCATAATTAACATCTCATAATAATCATTAACTAAAATAAAAATAAAAAAGCTTTCCTACAACTTAGACCAAAACTGGCTATCTAAATCATGGTTCCAATTTCCTTAGTTGTGTCTACAAGACTGTCATCTACATGGATGGCTCAGTGTCCTGTATATAACACTGTGTGGTGTCACTTTCCTAAAGGTGTGGACGTGAACAGGCTTACTAAATCTAAAGAGCAGAGATGTCTGTTGTGGACAGATAACATCTTGCAGAGTTGTACGCTTACCTCTGCTTAGGCCAGCATAGTACTAACTTAAAAAAAATGGTTTAATTTCTACCTCATCAATTTATATGACTAAAGGAGGCAAATCTGAGGAGAATATTTTACCACATAATGTTATTTAATAAGTGGTATCTAATGAACAAGTAATACAGCTTCATTTACACATAACATAGAATTATATATCATAACCAGAAAGCAACTATATGAATAAATATAATACAAAGGAAACAATACTGATCAAATACTGGTCTTAGCCTCGAGTTGGAATCCTTCTGTTAGACAAGAAGATTAATGAGTGGCAGGAAACACAAAAAACATCAATTTTACACTGAGGTTAAAACAGGGAGAAAAGAAGTTCAAGGTCATCCTTGGCTACTTAGTAAGTATGTAAGTAAGTACTACTTAGTAAGTAAGCTACTTAGTAAGAATGGGCTACAAGACACCATATCTCAAAAAAACAAAACAAAACTACACAGAGCTGGGCATGGTGGCAAATGCCGGTAGTCCCAGCACTCAGGGAGGCAGAGGAAGGTGGATCTCTGTGAGTTTGAGCCTGGTCTACAAATTGAGTCCAGAGAAACCCTGTCTCACAAAACCAAAAGAAAAGAAAGAAAAAAGTACTCAGTATTTAAAGAATGGCACATAAGGCTGACCTCTGGCCTCTACACGACCCACTCCTACAACACGTACCTACACAGAACAGCATAGTCATAGAATGCATATTTTGAATATGTGAGGCCCTATATTCAATTCTTGGGACCAGAAGATGGGAAAAAAAAAAAAAGAATACTAACTTTAACTTAGAGAGGGGAATGATTTTATTTCTGTGAAATTCCATGTAACTTCTGTCATTGTGACTATGCTTCCTAAAATAAAATGCCAAAAGGCATCTTTAATTCCTAAGTCCCATGGGTGTTGAATACCATACAAACTAACAGACACTAAAAAAGAATGCTTGCTACTGTGTGCCATCCGCACTCCTGTAAAACGTGGACCAACATTCCCTGAAAATTTCCAGCTAAATGCTGGCCCCTCCCCCAAAAAGAAAAAACAAACTCTAAAAGGAGAAAAAAAAAATACTGGTACTACATTCTAATTTTCATGTATAACTCAGACTAAACAACATCTCAGGCTAGGTCTGAGGATGGCTCTTGTTCTGAGTAGTTTCTCTTGTAACCTGCCTTCTCCAAAAACTGTTATGAGATGTTAGGGAAAGGGGATCATTCTATGCTAGAGGAAATAAAAATGACATAATCACAATCAAACATAACATGTGCCTCAACTGAGAAACAGAACAAAAAGCTGGGAATATAGCTCAGTTGTAGAGTACTTGCCTGGCAGGCTCTAGGCTAAGAGGTCAATCCCAGTACCGCCACAAGAAAGACAGCAGTAATTGCTCGGCTGTGTGCGGTGGCATATGCCTATAATCCCAGTACTTGAAGTCATTCTCAGCTCAAAGGGAACTTGAAGCCAGCTTATGCTACATGATACTGAAATCCCCACAAGACAAAATTAAAAATGCATAATTAATAAGTTCTTTTCATTCTTGAAAAATATAGCCAAAATAATTTTGTGGTTATTTTGTGTTACACATGGATAAAAGCTCAGAACATAAAAAGTTCTTTTTCCCCTCTCTGTCACAAACTTACTATGAGGAGAATAGTAAATGATGGAAACGTTAATTAGCTGGTACAGTTAAAAGGCATATGGGGGCTGAGGAGTGGGCTCAGCAGGTAAGAGAACTTAAATGTGTAAATATGAGGACTTGAGTTCAAATCCCTAGTACCTACATAAAAAAGCTAGATAAAGATTGTAACTCCAGCAAAAATAAAGGAGAAAAGTAAACACAGGAGATTTCTCCAGCTGTAGTGTCTGGCTCATGAGACCCTGTCTTAAGGTCATGAGGCTGAGGACGACAGAACAAGACGACCAGATGACTGCACTGCCTTTTAAGACACAGGCACCTACACCTGGACACACATGTGCGCACACTGCATATATCCCACACACTGTCTGAAAGATGTTCGTGGTGCTATTCTTCTGACTTTACTGTAAACTTGAAATTAAAATCTTTGGCTGCACATTTGTACTTGAATATGCATGCATACACGTGGAGGCCAGAGTGTCTTCCCTGGATTGTTTCCTACTTTACCTGTGAGTCAGGGCTCTCACTGAGTCAAGAGCTCACAAACTGGCCAGACTGGGAGGCCAGTGAGCTCTGAGAATCTGTAGGTTTCCATCCCCACTATGCTCCAGTTATAAAGGTATGGGGGCCATGTTTGGTGCTGGGGACCCAAATTCATGTCCTCATGTTTGTATAGCTAAGTCATGCTCCCAAGATTAAGCATATAAAAAACAAGCATTTCACCAGGTACAGTGAACATGCCTTTAATCCCAGCAACCAAGATGCAGAAGCCAGACTATCTCTGAGTTCAGGGCTAGTTTACGTAGGGTGTTCCAGGCCAGCCAATGCTGAAGGAAAAAAAAAAAGAGGGAGGGGGGAATTTAGGAAACAAATTTGACAAGTAATCTAAAAGAGTAACTAAAATTTGGAACACTAGCACCTGAAGATGTCAGGAAGGGTGTGTAGAACCCCTTGTTAGCAGAACTATAAAATGGTAAACACTTGAAAAGATGTGGCGGACTGACTTCATTGCTTTTTTCCACAGACATTTTAATAACAGCTTAGAGCAGAGCACCCAGCAGCCTGGCATCCCACATCGTCACAGTGCAGAGCTACGCGTGCAGGTCACAACCTGCTATCACCAAGTGGTGAGCTCTGCCAATAAATAAGGAATGCTCTTCCATGGCTAGAAAGGGTGACCGCCACAATCAACTGGTCCCAAAAATGCATCGAGTAAAATGAAAGTTTAACTACATATATTAACTTGTGAAGGTGTAGGGTGAATATGCCACAGTGTGTATGTGGAGCTCAGAGCAAACTTGTGAAAGTCAGTTCTCTACTTGACAGCAACTGCTTATACCCACTGAGCCACCCTGTCAGCCCCAAGCAGACTGTTTCAAATATAAAATCAAATGCATACCTACTCTATAATACACTCAGCAACCTTTAAGAAGTTAGTTTTTAATTTTTCACATTTAATCTGTGTAACGTACGTGCACGTAGGTCGAGGGACTCAAACTCAGGTTGTCAGCTACAGCAGCAAGTATCTTTAACCATCTCAGTAGCTCACCCACAGCTCAGCAATGAAAAAAAACAGTTTAGATTTAATTTTACTTTAACTATATAGTGGTCTTGCCTGCATGTGTATCTATGCATCATGGGCCTTCATGGGCCAGAAGAGGATGTCAGACCCTTGGAACTAAATCGTGAGCCACCATGTGAGTACTGAACTTGAACCTGGGTCCTCTGGAAGAGAAGTCAGTGCTTTTAAACCAGCCCCACAACTCAACAATTTTGCCCTTAGTGATTTTACTAAATAAAAACAAAAAATAAAGACAACAAAGACCTTACTTAGATATTATATGCAGGCAAAATCACCTATACACTTAAAGTAAAATTAAATCTAAAATGTTCTTTTTAATTGCTGAGTTCTGGCTGATATATATACATGAATGCAACCCAAAAGTATGAATGAAAAGAACCTCGTATTAAGAATACATGCCGTGGGGCTAAACAGACGGCTCAGCAGTTAAGAGCAGTGGCTGCTCTTCCCGAGGATCCAGGTTCAATCCTCAGCACCCACATGGCAGTTACTGTCTGTAACTTCAAGATCTGACACCCTTACACAGACATACACGCAAGCAAAATACAAATGCACATAAAATAAAAACATGGTGGCTCATAACCATCTATAGATGAGATCTGGTGGCTTCTTCTCTTCTGGAGTGCAGGCATACATGCAGACAAAACATGCTGTGCCAGGCGTGATGGCACATGCCTTTAACCCAGTACTCCTAAAGCAGAGGCAGGCAAGTCTACATAGTAAGTTACAGGACATCCAGGGCTATGTAGAAAGACCCAGTCTAAAAAAAAAAAAAAAAAAAACACGGGCTAGGCGTGGTGGCACACATCTTTGATTCCAGCACTTGGAAGGCAGAGGCAGGCAGATTGCTGTGAGTCTGAGGCCAGCCTGGTCTACAAAGTGAGGCCAGAACATCCAAGGCTACACAGAGAAAACCTGTCTCGAAGAAAAAAAAAAGAAAAAATAATAATATTATCAATTCATGCTGTATAATTCTATTTATATGAAATTCTAAAATAAATGAAACTAACCAATTATGAAATAAATGGAAGGTAATTGCCTCCAAAATGGGGAGGAACATGATTAATCATAGAAAGGCATCTTGAGGTTGAAGACAATTAGATTATCTGATTAGATAATTACATAGTATTTAAACAGAGTGAAAATCACCTGAATGTACAGTAAAGATTAGTGCATTTTACCCTCAGGTCTGACAGTGCAGGCCTGTGATATCAGCTAAGGTGTGGCTATCCTCAAGAACTACCTGGGCTACAGAGTGAGCTTGAGGCCAGCCCAGGCAACTCATTGAGATCTTGTCTCAAAATGAAAAACAAGAAGGTCGAGGCTGAGCATGGGTACACACAGAGGCAGGTGGCTCTCTGAGTTCAAGCCTATCCTGCTCTACAAACTGAACGTCAGGCCAGCCAGGAGACCTAGAGCACATCGGAGCATATGTGAGGTCCTAGGTTCAACTCCTAGTATTGTGCAAAAAAAAAAAAAAAAAAAAAAAAACTAGAACCATAAATCGAACTCTAGTTATTAATACGCACATCAGAGAATTGAAGTCAAGGGGTCATGTGCCGATATCAGATTGTAGAGCTAAAGCTATGACATATGTGAGTATGTGATTGCTGTTTGGTTCTTTAGGAAGGGGTATACTGACCCCTTTGGCAAAGGATGGGTATATGCAAGTTGTAGATCAAGAACAGCTAAATATAATTGTTAAAAGGTTGAATATGAAAAATGACTATAAAAATGGGAGAAAATAAGGCTAAGGAGATGAATGTACCACTTGGCTGCAAGTACAGAGACCTGGATCACCAGCACCCATAGAGAAATGTGAGGTGGGTGTTGCAGCTCCCTTATAACCCAGTGCCCATGAGGCAGGATAAGGGACCCCTGGGGCAAGCTGGATAGCTAGAGCAGGCAAACTGAGCTCTGAGCTCAATGAAAGATTGCACCTCAATACATGGAGTGGAGGCAATACCCAGCCTCTGTTCCAGATCCAAACACATGCAAACATGCATGCCACCCACACATAACATGCTCAAAACAACAACTCTTCGTGGAAGAAAACTATTAATATAAAATGGCAGAGTCCTTCTTTTCCTCTCTTCTCCCTCCCTAATCCCTTTCTTTCTTTTATCCTTCCAACAAGGTCTTGACGTGCAGCCCAGATCAGCTTCAAACTTGAGATCCTCCCATCTCAGCCCCCTAGTGTTCCACCACACTCAGATCAGTTAGTTAAAAGTAAGAAAATGGTGAAAGTGTTTCCAATACTGGGAAATGACTTTCCTACAACTCTGACAGTACAAAATTGACAAATGGTTTTATTAACAATAAGAAAAAAGAAAGCCCCTCGTCATTTCTTTTTTTCTTTGTTTTTTTGAGACAGGGTTTCTCTGTGTGGCCTTGGCTATCCTGGACTTGCTTTGTAGACCAGGCTGACCTCGAACTCACAGAGATCCATTCACCCTCTTTTGCCTCCATAAGCTGTACAGCAGATTATGGCTAGATCTTTCAGGGAAAATAGCTGTCACAAGTCTTGTACTCCAGCTAAACAGGTCACTCCCTCAGCTCACTGTCCTTGTTGTATTCAATCTCAGACTAAAGCTCTAAGCAAAGTTTTAGGTAGTCCTATAAGCTATATGGCTACTAACAGACAGGTCGACAAATAGCAGAAATGGTTGACTTCCTTTATTCGGAGCAAAAAGCAGTCAGACACCCAGAAGAGCTGTGGAGACGCTCAGTCTTCCCTAAGAGCTCAGTCGTAAGGGAATTCTAACCACAATCTTCCTACCTCTGCATACTCTGGAATCCCAGAAACGGGTCTAGTGCCGCAGTCACTCCTGCTGCGTTAGTACATGGCCTTCCAAGCACAGGAGAATAGCTACAGACAAGATGTTAAAAACTGGTGCTGTGGAGATGGCTTGTGAGTAAAGTACTTATCACAAAAGCACGAGGACCCAAGTTTGAATCCCTAGCACCTGCATCAAAGCAAGGCACAGTGGTGGATCTCTAACCCTAGCAAGGGTGGGCAGAGACAGGTGGATTCCTAGAGCTTGATGGAGGCCAGTCTGGCTAACTGATAACCAGTGAGTTCCATGAGAAACCTTGTCTCAACAAACAAAGCAGAGGGCCAGTGATGTGGCTCAGAAAGTAAGGACATTTGCTGACAATCCTGATGACCTGAATTTGATCCCCAGGATTCCACACAGCATAAGAAGAAAACTGATTTATGTACAGTGTCCTTTCATGTGTACCATGGTACACACACACACACACATACACACATGGTTGAAAGGGACACTTAGCTACATATCCTGTGTGAAACCCTACAAGTACACAAATCTTGAAGCCATTCCAAGAGGAGTCCCATATGTGAAGCATAAGACACAATCACTACTTTGAGTGGATTAGTTGCTATGGTGATAAGAACCACATAGCAGCATCTCTATGAAAACCAATTCCTTTGCCAAATAAATGTAGACCCTCTAAACTAAGACAGGATCGTGTTACCTTGGCATTTCTTAGCAGCATAACTAAACTGCATGGTTTCTAAATTACTGATATGTTTCTAAATTATTGGTATTACTGAAGGCATTTAAAAACCATGTCTTCAGTAGGTGTTGTAGTGTATGACTTTAATCCCAGCACTCAGGAGGCAGGGTCAGGTGGGTCTCTCTGAGTTTGCGGCCAGCCTGTTGACATAGGGAATTCCATTGCCGGCCAAGCTATGTAGTAAGACCTTGTCTTAAAACAAAACAAAACAATAAAACTGTGTCATTGTTGTAGTAATCAACAGAATAAAGGCATTTTTTATAAATATATCTGAAAATGTATGCTTAAACTGCAGCTTACATAATAAAAATTGATTAAGTGCTAAATAGGAAAAGAGTTGAAATATCATAACGAAATATTTTTTAAAACATTACCTGATCAAGGTTTTTGAAAAGAAGAATATCTTTACAAGCGTCCTGAAGCCTGCATCTCTGCTCATCAGTTTTGGGATATACCACCTGTCAATTGAAACAAAGCCAAGACAATATTTTTATCCCATTTGAAAAATGTATTTTTCCCCTAAAAAGTGAAAAAGAAAAACCCAAAGAATATATACATACACCCCCACACTTTACATATATCACACATATTTACAACTCTAATTCTACAAAAGCAGCACGCAGTACGCTGCCACGGAGAAGCAATGTGATACACAGGATATACAGGCGTGAGACGCACAACTCTAGAGCAACCTGCTGTCTGTGTGGCTAGCAATCATCAGCTGTCCCCTGGGAGCCTCTAGCTTCTCATCTGGACAGCAGAGAGCTATAAACTGTCCCTTCAATAAGTACTGAACATCTACTAACCTCTAGGCACTCTGCTAGCTCTGGAGAAAACAGTGAACACAGAGATAAAACTGTATGCCTTTATGCTCTAAGAACACATAAAATATGATGGAGACTGACAAGATTAAGGACAGTGAGTAAGCAGGGAGGTAAGTATGAGAGTATGTTTACGTCTGGCTAGGTGGGGTCCCACTGAGGAAGTGACAGCTGCGCAGAAGCAACAACTTGAGAGAGTAAGTACTGAGGTTGCCATGGGAAGAGCAAGGCATTGTATGGTGTGAGAATGAAGAGCAGGTCTGACAAGTAACTAAGAAAGATGAGACTGATGCAGACAGGGAAAGGTCAGATTGGGCCAGTGGGGGAGGGATGTCCACATTCATAGAGGACACTATACATAGGTCATAGAATGAATGGAACTTTCTATAACAACTTTGGAGTAGTTTGAGGTTATCAGTTCAGAAAGAGAGCTAGTATTTGAAGGATCACACTGGCTGTTAAATTAGGGTTAGGATTACAGTTGGGCCTAGAGGAAGGTAAGGGTATAGGAGAAGCTGGGAAGCTTACACTACTGTAGTCCCATATGGTGGCGGTTTGATCCAGGGTGGTAACCACATAGGTCTGAAGAAGTGGAAAAGTTTGGATATATTTTGAACACGGTGACCACTAAATTTATTGAAAAACTAGATGAAGTGATAAAAAAAAAAACAAAAACAAAAACAAGAGTCAAGGATGACTCCAACTCAACAGTGATACTGCTATGATCTACGATGGGAAAATGTACGGGTAGAAAATTATTATTATTATTATTTTCCTCAAGATAGGGTTTCTCTGTGTAGCCTTGGCTGTCCTGGACTCACTTTGTAGACCAGGCTGGGCCTCAGGCTCATAGAGGCATTTGCCTCTGCCCCCCCCCCCCCCCCCCCCAGTGCTGGGATTACCGGTGTGCACCACCAGGCTCATCAAGATTATTTTTATTTTTAATCATGTTTATGTGTGTCAGTATATGGTTAAGTGCATTTGAGTGCAAAGGCCAGAGATTCGCAGTCCCTCAGAGCAGGGAGTATAAGGTGGTCAACCACTTGTGGGGTGCTGGGAATTGAATGTGGGTTCTCTGCAAGAGCAGCAGGTGCTCTTAACCACTGGAGCCATCTCTCCAGCCTACAAAGAATACTTGAAAAACACAAAAAACAAAAACAAAAAAACCCAGGAGTTCATGTTGTCTACTTCTAAATGGCAATGGTAATTAACAACAGCTATATAAGCTACGGTTAACAGGCTAAAAACAAGCCAGCGCAGAAGTGCACGACTATGATCCCAGCACTCTAGGAGGCAGAGGCAGGCAGATCCCTGTGAGTTTGAGGCCAGCCTGTCTACAAAGTGAGTCAGAACAGCCTAGGCTACACAGAGAAACCCTGTCTTGAAAAACAAAACAAAAAACTAACAAAAATATTATTAACAGTAATAGTAGTATTTACAAACTAGTTATCATAAGAATTAAATAATATATAGTCTCCAAAACAGTACCTTAAATTCATTTAGTAGGTGCTTTAAAACTATTACTATAAGCTAGGCGTGGTGGCACATACCCATAATCCTAGCACTCAAGGAGTCAGAGGCAGGCAGATCTCTGTTCGAGGCCAGCCTGGTCTATAAAGTGAGTCCAGGGCAGCCAAGAAAAACCCTGTTTCTCACACAGAGAAACCCTGTTTCATAAAAACAAAATAAAACTAAACAAAAAACCCATTATTGTTATAAATAAAATATTTGCTGAACTAAAAAGAAATATTACAATGTAACATTGATGTTATAATTGAGAGACCTATTACTAAACATGGTTTTTACTAGAAACATGTATGTTAAATTTGCAATATGAAGGGCGGGCTCAGCAGGTAAAGGTGCTTGCTGCGGTAGCCTGGCACCCTGAGCCCAATCTCCAGAACCCATATAAAAGTGGAAAAAGAGAACCAATTCCATACATTTGCAATAGGAGATTAGGGATTGTAGGTGACAATCCTTCAGTAAGAGTCATTAAGTTTTCCATTTTTCACTATTATAACAATATAATGACCCCCATTTGTGCACCTTTAGGAAAAATTCTCCCTAGTAACTGCTGAGCCTGACTATGTCCACTAACTAGGTCTAAGGCTTCTGCAAAGCCTTAGAGAGACCAAACTGTCAAACAGGGCTGGTTTCAATCTATTGAAAAGTGGCATCCCATAGATACTTTAACATTTTATTTTTATTAGTCATAAAACATTGAGTTTCTCTTTGGTATTTTTCATACAAAATTTATTTTTATTCTTTCTCTTCCTTCCTCTGTTCTCCAATTCCCCTTCATTCCCACCCCCAACTTGGCCTTTGTACCTCCTTTTCATTTTTACATAGCAGATGTCCTTTTGCCCTCCTCCTTAACTTTCCTCTACACCTCTTGTGGCTCTCTTGTGGTTGTCTGTTTATAACCACTCTCACGCAGGCATACAAATATTAAAAGTTAGGGTCTGCATATGAGAAAGAACATGTGACCTCTCAGAGATTTTAATTCATACTTACTTTCACTATTAGTGATTTATTTGAGGAATGTAGAAGAAGAGAATCAATAGGAAACACAATTCTACATATAATTTTAGCATTAGTTCTTACCTTTGGATCATTATCGTCGTCGTCTTCATCAGGGTTAAAGGTTTCTGCACAGACTGAAATTGGAGAGGAAAAAATGGAAGTTAAAAAATGTATAATCTTAGAAGAAAAAGGAAAGCATGGGAGTCATGTGTATGCACATGTTCCCATGTGTGAGAGGGTACCTTTTTCATTCACTCTAATCCTTAGTTATCTATTTAATATGTAGTATATATGAGACAGGGTCTCACTATGGATCTCACTATGTAGACCATGCTGGTTTCAAAGATCCCCCTGCTCCACCACCCCAGGCCGCTTCCTTATTTTCTGAGATGGTCTTTAACAGAACCTGTAGCTCACAGCTTCAGCTAGGCTGACTGGCCAGTGAGCTGCATGAGTCCACTTGTCTTCTACCTCCCTAGCACTGAGATTCCAGATGTGTGCTGCCACACTTAAACTTTTATGTCAGTGCTAGTGATCCAACTCAGTTCCCTAAACTTTTATTACAAGCATGTTCCAGGTGGCCATCTCCCCCATCTTCTTTTTATAAGGACAAATGTCCTATTTTCTTATAACCTTATTACCCTTTAAAGGCTGCACTTTCAATTATAATCATATTGGTATGACTTCAACATATAATTTGGTGGGGAGGCATAATCCAGTTTATCACTGGATTTATAAATTACATTAAGCAACAGTTAGTGACATTTCAGTTTAAGGTAACTATAGAAGAAAAAATATAGCACACTATTTTAGTACATTGTAAGCACACAAACCTTACATGGCAGTGATATTAATAAAGCGATTATCACTTAGAAATAAAAGACTGACCCAGGACCAGATTCCCAACGAACTAGCATGTCAGTTATCACCAGTCAGAAACTCACTGTGTAGACCCAGATGCTAACAGATTTCTGCTTAATGTACTTTAAAGCTTCAACATATATATATATAAGAAGTCTGTTTTCTTTTCTTTTTATTTTTAATGAACAAAATCTTGAAATTGATACATTTCAAAGACAGTTAAAACTAATCTGAGATTGTACCAAGAAAGCAGCACTTCGGTAGTATATGCTTGCATTTTAGAACCCGGAAGGTTGAGGGCAGGAAGATTGCCATGTGTTCCAAGACAAGCCCAGGCTGTGTAGCAAGGTCCTGTCTCAAAAACAAAACAAAAGAAAGCAGTGCTTTAAAAATCTGACTCCAGGTCAGATGGTGCTGGCACATGTCTTTAATCCCAGCACAAGCAGAGGCAGAGACAAGTACATCTCTGAGTTTGAGGCCAGCCTGGTCTACAGAGTGAGTAATAGAACAGCTAGGGCTATGCAGAGAGACCCTGTCTCAAAAACCACAAATGAACAAACAAAAACAAAAATTCATGAATCCTTCCTTGGATACATAGTAAGTCCCTGTCTCAAATAAACAAAGCCAAATAAAAATATCAACAAAAAAAACTTATTTAAAAAATAATCTGAGGCTGAGATCAGAGATTAAATTCATAAATAAATGAAAAAAATAATTTGGGTTTCTGGAGAAATGTCTCAGTGGTTAAAAGTACTGGCTGCTCTTCTAGAGGAACCAGGTTCAAGTCTCAGCACCTGCATGGGACATCACTCACGTTGGTTTGTAACTCCAGTCCCAGAGGATCTAACACCCTCTTCTGGCCATCTGGGGCACCAGGCATGCATGTGGTTTACAGACATGCACGTGGACAAAACACACTAACACATAAAATGAAAATAAAAAGAAATTTAAAAAATAATAATTTGGGATTTTTATTTCCATAGTCCACCCCTCCCTCTGCTTTGCAGGGATCTTTCCCTTTGCATGCCTTGTTGTGTGTGGTTCTTCAGCTTTTATAAAAGTATTTTTTTTATCTGCTGGATAAAATACACAATACATAAAAGAAAAAAAAAATCTTATCAAGCTAGTCCCATAAAGAAAACAAAAGGGCTGGAGAGATGGCTCAGAGGTTAAGAGCACTGTCTGCTCTTCCAGAGGTCTTGAATTCAATTCCCAGCAACCACATGGTGGCTCACAACCATCCATAATGAGATCTGGTGCCCTCTTCTTATATTAAGGCATACATGCAGATATTGTATGCATAATAAATAAATAAATTTAAAAAAAGAAAGAAAGAAAGAAAAAAAAGCCAGGTACAATGGTGTACACCTGTAATCCCAGCACTCCAGTGGCAGGCAGATCACTGTGAGTTCAAAGCCATCCTGGTCTACAAAGTGAGTCCAGAATAGCCAAGGCTAAACAGAGAAACCCTGTTTCAAAAAACAAACAAAAGACCAAATAAATAAACAAGCCTGGGGATTTAGCTCAGATGACAGAGTACAGTTTCATCCCCAGTGCTGAATGCATGGTGGCACATGCCTATCATCCAAGCACTGTGGTAGGGTGACCAGAGCTCAAGGTCATCCTTGGACACAGAGGGTAGTCAGGGGCAGCCTAGGGTATATAAGGGCCTAACTCCAAAAGGGGAGGGTGGGGAATACGAATACAAATAGATTTTCTGTATTCTGAAAGCATTAATTTTTTGTTGAACAACTACAGGAGCATCAAATAAAGTGAGCTAAAGTACTGTTTGTAACTAAATTGCTTATTTTTAAGATAGTAGTGCAGAAGAAACCTATCTGGGACACCTTTCCCTGACAGCCTATCTGTACCCTGCCTCTAAAAAGAGAAAAGGCGAGACAAAATTCAGTCTCTCGCCAGAGAATATTACTTTCCATGTTATAACTAAAGACATAATTCAAGTGACTCAAAAACTCAAGAAAATTTAATCGCAGCATAATCTAGGATGCTAAAAATAGTAACATGGTACACCTAAAGAAGCTAAGCAAGGAGGAGGACCCTGGAGGACCCTGGGTAGGATGATCAATCCTCATTCAGAAAGGCAAATGGGACGGACATCGGAAGAGGGAGAGAACAGGGAACAGGACAGGAGCCTACCACAGAGGGCCTCTGAAAGACTCTATCCAGCAGGGTATCAAAGCAGATACTGAGACTTATAGCCAAACTTTGGGCAGAGGGCAGGGAACCATATGAAAGAAGAGGGAGATAGAAAGACCTGGAGGGGATAGGAGTTCCACAAGGAGAGCAATAGAACCAAGAAATCTGGGCCCAGGGGTCTTTTCTGAGACTTCATACTCCAACCAAGGACCACCCATGGAGATAACCTAGAACCCCTGTACATATATAGCCCATGGCAGTTCAGTGTCCAAGTGGGTTAAATAGTAAGGGGAACAGGGTCTGTCTCTGACATGAACTCAGTGGCTGGCTCTTTGATCACCTCCCCCTGAGGGGGAAGCAGCCTTACCAGGCCACAGAGGAAGACAGTGCAGCCAGTCCTGATGAGACCTGATAGGCTAGTGTCAGATGGAAGGGGAGGAGGACCTCCCCTATCAGTGGACTTGGAGAGAGGCATGGGAGGAGATGAGGGAGGGAGGGTGGCATTGGGAGGGATTAGAGAGGGGACTACAGTTAGGATACAAAATGAATAAACTGTAATTAATATAAAATATTTAAAAATAAAAATAGTAACATGAAAAATCACTTTTGGAAATAATTTTCTATTTGTAAATATAGAAAAATATGAGATACAAAGAGACCAATTATAATAACATATGTACACATTTACTCAGAATGAAAGAATCATAGATAGTTTTGTATTTATCATAATATATACTGTTAGTTTATCTTACCTGATACTCGCCTAGCAAATCTGTTGGGAGCCGGAACTGTTAAAAGGAAAAAAAAAAAAAAGGCAACAATTAGTCATCATTATCTCACATGCCTCTATTCTTACCCCTGCTTTTTGCAAACATAGAACTAAGTACCCCAGAATCAATGGTGGGTCCACACTTTTCTATATTTGACTATAAATTATTGTTACTCAACATGATCATACAAAGACAATACAGAAAGTATTTCTATCAGGGACCACCAGACATGAGCCAAGCTAACTGTCCTCTGAAAGACTCCACCCAGCAGCAGACTGAAACAGATGCTGAGACCCACAGCAAAACATTAGGCAGAGATCTGGGAATCTTGTGGAAGAGTTGGTGGAAGGCTAGAGGGACCCAAAGGGAACAAGAACTCCACAAGAAGACCAACAGAGACACCTAACCTAGGCCCATGGGGGCTCACAGAGACTGAACCACCAACCTAAGTGCATGCATGGACTGGACCTAGGCCTCCTAAACTCATGGTGCTTGATGGACAGCTCGGTCTTCATGTAGATACCTTAGCAATTGTAATGGGGTGGGAGTGATGAGGGCTGGGGAGGGGTGTCCCTGACATGAACTCTGTTGTCTGCAGGTGGATCACTTAGCCTGGTTGGATTACTCAGTGGAAGAGGCTAGACAAGGCTAGTCCTGATATGACATAAAATGTTGGGGGGGGGGTGCTTTCTCTGAGAAGAAGGGGAATGGGGGAAGAGGGTAGGACCAAGAGGAGAGGAGAGAAGGGGGCTGTGATCGAGATGTAAAGTGAATAATAAATTAATTAAAGAGAATAAAATATTTCCCTAAAAAGAAAAGCTCTTTATAACTTCAGTGTGCCAGAAGACTCGAGTTTGGTTCCCAAGACTCTGTCAGTCAGCTCAGGACTGCCTGCCCTCTTCCAGCTTCCACGGGCACCTGAATATGTATATACAGTGTATGTAGCAAAGGAAAACCTAGAACTTACACTTACATATATTCATTCAAAGACACACACATACACTTAATTTAAATTTTCTTTTGAGATTTTATGTTTTATGTGTGTAGGTGTTTTGCCTGACTGTCTATCTATGCATCATGGCTACCAGTTACCTGTAGAGGCCAGAAGAGGACCCTGGAACTGAAGTTGCAGACAATTAATTGTGAGCCACAAGCTGGGTGCTAGGAATTGAACTCAGGTCCTTTGGAAGAATAGTCAGTGCCCTTAACCACTGAACCATCTCTCCAGCCCTGATTTAAAATAAAATAAATCTCAGTAAGGGTGCTTGCCACCAAGCCTGATGATCTGAGTTCCCTTCCTATAACCCATATGGTGGAAAGAAAGAACTCTTGGAAGTTTTTCTCTGACCTTCACACACATGTACACTTGGCCCTGACAATAAACAAATTTGTAGCTATAAAAATTCATATGGAGCTGGGTGTGGTGGTGCATGTCTTTAACCCCAGCACTTGAGAGGCATAGGCAGGCAGATCTCTGAGTTCGAGGTCAGCCTGGTCTACAGAGCTAGTTCCAGGACAGCCAAGAGCTATTATACAGAGAAATTGTCACAAACAAAAAACACCAAATAACAAAACAAAACAAAAAATGGCACTGGAGAGATGAGTCAGCAGTTAAGAGTACTGGCTGCTCTTCTAGGATCCAGGTTCGAGTCCCAGCATCCACAAGATGGCTCACAGAAACTCGTAACTCTAATTCCAAGGGATCTGACACCCTCTTCTGGGTTCTGTAGGCACAAGGTACATTATGGTACACACACATACAATCAGGTAAAATACATAAAAAAATGATTAAAATATATCCAGGTGTGGTACTACATGCATGTAAACCCAGTGCTTGAGAAATTGAGGCAGGAGTGTTAGAAGTTTGAAGCCAAACTGGATTACATACAATGACAAAACAAAAACAAAGAAAGCATAGACCTTTAACTAAGGGGCCAGGGCACTTGTCCTGTATCTGTGAAGCCCTGTGTTCAATTCTTAACACAGGGGGAAAAAAGGAAGGGAGGCACAAGAATGGAAAAATACACTAAAAAGACCAAAAAATTTCCCACTTTCTAAAAGGAGAAACTGGGTCTGGAAAAGCTTAGCTGGTAGAATGCCTGCACAGCATGTGTGAAGTTCTGGTTTGATCACTAACACCTCCTAAACAGGCATGTAGCTCATTCTTATAACCCTAGTACTCAGAAAGAGAAGTTCCAGGTTATCCTTAGCTACACACTGCATTCAGGCCAACTTGAGCTATATCGAGATCCCGTCTAAAACATAAACAAAAGTGAGGGGAGGAGAGAGGAGAAATGTAGGAATTAGTGAAGGGGCAAAAAACTGAAGGTAGATCTGAGAGCCTAACAAAAAGCTACTTAAAGGATCTTGTCATCCTGCCCCACCTCCATCAATCAGCCCTGCAGCTCTGGTTGCTAAACTCGATTCCTGGAGGCACATGGTGCCTCCTCAAGCAGACAGCATCTTCTCTGTTCTCAGTTGCTCTCTACTCTACACGCCACCATTATGAGTGTCTGTAATGCTAAATGCTAGAACACAGAACCTGATAAAATGAATGCTACAACTTCATCTGGCTTCACAAAATGACCAAATTAAATACTGTATCTCTTGTGGATTTTCCTGGCCTACCTCTGCTTCATTGCTGAGGATGAGAACAGAAGAGTGTATGTAGGCTATATCATCACAAAGGAGGAGAACCTGAGGACCTGATGCTGTTTCCCCATGGACACACTTCCCAACTGATCATGAAGCACTCAGAGGTACCTTGGCCTGACCCAGAAGCTGATGGACTAGACCTTACAAGCCCCAATTAAAAACTTTAGCGCTAGGCTAAAGATGTGGTGGCACACATCTTTAGGGAGTTTGCAGAGGCACAATAGGTAGTTCTGAGTTCAAGGCCAGTGTGGTCTATACAACAAGTTCCATGCCAGCTGGGGCTACTTAGTGAGACTCTATCTTAAAACAAACAAAACTTTTAGTGCCATGTACCTTCCCTGCATATCAGAAATAACAAGTGCAGGGCTGGAGAGATGGCTCAGTGGTTAAGAGCACTAGCTGTTCTTTCAGAGGTCCTGAGTTCATGGCAACCACATGGTGGCTCACAACCATCTATAATGAGATCTGGTGCTCTCTTGTGGTGTGTGTGAAGACAGAACATTCATATACATGAAATAAATAGAAAGAAAGAAAGAAAGAAAGAAAGAAAGAAAGAAAGAAAGAAAGA